ACACCCTGAAGGTGCAAAGGGCACTGACCTCAAGGCTGCAGACCTCCCCATGGCCGCGCGGCACAGCGAGATCTGCTCCAGCGCTGTCTGCAGCTCCTGGCTCCTGGCACGCTTGCCCTGGATGATCTGGTCCCGCTTCTCCTCCTCCTCACGCCGCTGGGCCTCCTTGAGCAGGGCCAGCCGCTCACGCAGCTCCACAATGGACATCTCCCCTTCCAGGCCATACCCGGGGATCTGGGGGTAGGCAAGGAGGTCCCAGGCTGGGAGCCAGAGCCATGGCCAGCATGCTCAGCCTGCCCCACCATCTCCTGAGCCCTGGTCAGCCTCCGCTCCACTGCTGGTGCCCCTCCCGCCTTCCATGGGCCTGGCCCCACACCCAGGACACCACCCTCCCTCTGCCTAGTGCTGTCTGTGTGACATGTCCACCACCCAGCTTCTCAAGCCTGGGCCCCTCTTAAGCCCAAGACCCCCTGGGGTGACTGGACATCTCAGCCCAAGTGGAGCTCACCCGGGTTGCCCCAGCCAGGGCTCAGGGACTCCCCACGCCCCCGGGAACAGGCCTGCCCCACCTCAGTGAGCCAGCCTGGCCTGTCATGGTGCTCACACAGGCTCCCAGGCTCTGAGGGCCGGCTCAGCTCCCACTCGCTCGTCCAGCCTCTGGCCTTTGTGCCCTGCGCTCTCCCTACACAGTTCTTCCCACTTGGGGAGTCATGGGCCTCCTTCAACACACAGCAATGGGAAGCCCACCCTGTCCACACCCCGGAGGAGCCCTGGCCCCCTGCCCCCAGGGGTCACCAGGGTGTCCCTGACAGGACCGTGGACTCTCGGGCCAGCGCCAGGCCTCCAGCACATTGGTGTGAGGTCCATAGCTGGCCAGGTAGAGCTTGGCTTAGGTGGAGGTGGGCATCCTGGGCACACCCTCCCATGGCAATGCCAGGCACGGCAAGACACGGGGGAGGCCCCCCGGGGGCTGTGCACTCACCTGGGTCAGGTCCACAAGCTTGCCCTTACGCCTGGGCTGTGTCTCCAGGGCTCGCAGCTGGGAGATGAGCTCACAGCGCCGCCTCTGCTCCTCCCGGGCGGCCTGCGCACTGCGCTGGAGCAGTGCTGCACTCTCCTCAGTCATCTCCTGAACTTGGGGGTCAAGAGGGCTGCTGAGGGGTCCCAAAGCGGCTCGGCAGGGGGAGCCTTCCCTCCAGGGCGCCTTGGCGCTCACTGACTGACGCCCCCAGCCCCTGGCCCCCGCCATACCTGTCTGCCGCCGGTCCCTCAGGAGCTTCATCTGTGCCACCTTGATGTTCTTCTGCCCCTCCATCACCTGCTCCACCAGCTCCTTCATGGACCGCTCCTCCTGCAGGCGCCTCTCGACACACTGGTGCATCAGCTGGGCCATCTGTTGGGACAGGGACCCGCCCCAATCAGAGCCGGTGCCACGGGGGACCCCTGGAGCAGACCAGCGTCCCTGGGCCCGGGAGCAGCATGAGGTCAGGGGGCGGATACAGCTGCTGACCCCAAACCACCCTGGCACCTCTGGAGGTCAGGCCTGCAGAGGAAGACACGCCCCACATCCTCCCGCCTCCACTGTGGTCCTGGCCGGGCGAGCCCAGAACCACACAGCCGCCTCCCCAGAGGATGAAGCAGCCGAGGGGCACAGCCAAGAGAGTCCTGGGGGGGCCGAGTCAGAGCCACTGGGTCTTCCCTGAAGCCACCCACCCCTGGGCTCCACCCACGTGAGAGACAAGGACACTCATTGCTTTTATTTATTTGTTTAAATGTATTGGGGTGACGTTGGTTAATATGAATATATAGGTTTCTGTGTTACAAGGCCTATATATGGCACTGTGCGCCCACCACCCAAAGTCACATCTTCTCCTGTCACCATATATTAAGACGCCCTTTACCCCCCACCCCCTATCCTCTGGCAACCACCACACTGCTGTTTGTGTCCACAAGTTGCAGTCTTATATCCCACACTCATTGCTTTTAAGCCACCTGGGGATGGGTGTTCAGATACTGCCCAGGTCTGCACAGGGCACAACAGGCTCCCCGTCACACGGCCCCGGGCGTGTCCTGAGGGTCGCCCCACACTTCTCACAGTGCCTCAGGCGTGCACTGCTCTGACCTCACACAGCGGGGTGGCCGTGCAGCTGCTGGCCGCCTCCCCTGCTCGGGATGAGGCATTTCTCAGCTCGTCCCTGGCACCTACCGCCTGGGGCACAGGCGGCTTTTCTTCGTGGCTGTTTCCGGGAATACACAGACTGTTTCCCCTTTGGCACTGTCTGCACAGCTGAGAAGAATGGTTTCAGTCCTCAAGATCCCGCCGAGGACAGCGTGGGACTTATGCCCGTCACCGGCCCACACCATCAGGGCCGTGGACTCCCAGCCCGGGAGCACAGCTTCGATGGCAGGGAAGTCGAGAAGCTGGCTGAGGCAGTGTGGGCGCCAGGTGCGGGCACGAAGTGAGTCGTCCTTCATGAAACAATTTGCTGGCTCATGGAAAATGGCGCCTGACTAGCTCTTTCAACGCCGTGCGATTTCATTCCAGGTGCTCAGAGAAGGCCGCCAGGGCTCTGAGGAGCAGCTATTTTGGAGGCTGGGCCAGGGGAGACACAGGCAGGGAGCATTTTATAGCACCGCGAAGCAAGGGGTGCTCAGCAAACAGCAGGGCAGGGGCATGTCAGAGGGACACGGGAGCTGACCTGACAGGGCTCCCAGCGGTGATGCCGGGTCCGGTTACGGCACAGAGTAGAAGGCACGAGTGCCGAGTCCACACCGACGTGAGGAAGCAACAAGTCTCCGCGCAGAGTTCCTGATAACCACCCATCTCCCAGTGTGGGCTCCACCCAGAGGCCCCTCCAGAGAGCACAGCATGGAAAGGGGAGTAATCACGTCGCACCAGCTTGGCAAACACAACCCTGGCCAGGTGACCGCGGTCAGCGTCGACAGTGATAAGTTTGTGGCCAGCGGGCACCCCGGATGGTATGCGATGAGCCCTTTACCTCTGGCATCTTCCTCCCACACCCCAGTCTACTCTCGAGAAGAACACCAGAGACACCCCAACCAAGGGACAGTCAACGGGGCGCCTAACAAGCACACCTCGAAACAGACAAGGTCATCAGGAGTAAAGAAAGTCTGAGAAAATGTCCCAGCCAGTCGGAGTCCGAGACATGGCGGCTCAGTGTAGTGTGCCTTGGGCAGGAAAAGGGTACTGGTGGGAAAATAATGAAATCCAGAGACCTGGAACCATGAAACTCCTAGAAGAAAACATAAGAGGAGCAGAAAGATGAAGACTGTGTGATCTCACTTATATATGAGGTCTAAAAACGTCCAAGTCCCAGGCACAGAGTGGAATGGGGGCCACCAGGGGCTGGGGCGGAGGAGACGCGGGGCTGGTGGCCAGGGGACAGGAGGTGTCAGGGAGAAGACGAGACCCGGCGGGCGGCACAGCGACCACGGTGAAAGACGTCGTCTGCGCCCCGAGGCGTTCGCACCACCCACGCGGGTGACTGAGGTGATGGAGGCGCGGACGAGCGCGCTGCGGTCACTTCACACCCGGTGCGCACATCGAGGCGACAGGCTATACGCCTGTGTCGACACGAGCCTCACCGCCAGTCGCACCCCAATGACGCCGGGGTACAAATGGACAAAAGACATGAGCAGGTGCACAGAAAACGACAGAAATGGCTCTTAAATACATGAAGAGATGCCCGAAGTCACGAATAATACATGAAATGCAAGTGAGGCCCACACGGGATACTGTGCCTCATGTGTGGGAAGGGCAAAGACTCCCGAGTCCAGGGCAGCGCACTCTGTGGGCCGGGGGCCCAGCCCCTCAGCGCTGGGGAGCAAAGACGCCTCAGGGCCGGACGGAGGCCACGTGGCATCGTCACGGAAACCGCGTGCTCCAAACCGCGTGGACCAGAACAGAACCAGCCGGCCGCCCGTCTCAGCCAGCCACCCCTCCCCTAGAGGTTCCCCTCCAACCCCCACCGCCACCCCGCGAGGCCCCGCACCACGCGGTCCACGGCGGGCGGGCGAGGGCTGGCGCTTCCCGTGAGAAAAGGGGGAAGTAAGAAGGGTGTGGGTACACGTGAGCGTGTTTGCTTAGGAAAGACAAACCAGAAGTTAATGAAATTAAGGATGTAGGCAGGCAGGTGTAATGTGTAGACTTACAAGAAGTGAGAGAACGCCCCGGCTGGGTGGGCTCAGTGGGTAGAGGGCCGGCCTGCGGGCTGAAGGGTCCCGGGTTCGATTCCGGCCAAGGGCATGCACCTCGGCTGCAGGCTCCATCCCCGTCCCGGTCAGGGCGAGGGCTGGAGGCAGCCAATCAGCATGTCTTTCTCACACTGATGTTTCTCTCTCTCTCTCTCTCCCTTTCCACTCTCTGAAAAGCAATGGAAAAAATAGCCTCAGGTGAGGGTTAAAAAAAAAAGTGAGAGGTCTCTGAGTCTATTGGTCACGCTGGTTTTTCTGTGTGTGCTTTTTTAAATATATATTTATTGATTTCAGAGAGAGGAAGGGAGAGAGAAATAGAAACATCAATGATGAGAGACATTGATCGGCTGCCTCCTGCAGGCCCCCTGCTGGGGATCGAGCCCACAACCCGGGCATGTGCCCTGACCAGGAATCAAACCTAGATCTCCTGGATCCTAAGTCAATGCTCAACCACTGAGCCACACCGGCCGGGCTCATACTATTTTGACTTCATATTTCTAAAAAGTCAACTAAAAAGAAAGGGTTAGCAAACCCTAACATTAAGTGCTAACAGACACAAATGGGCATCACAGAAGTGAGTGGACGCCGAGCCTGTCCACCGACCGCAGGCCCCTGGGGACACCTGTCTAAGGGGAGGCAGAGCTGCAGTCAGGCCTGCGGGGGGAACACAGGTTTGGAGCCCCCACCGAGGCCGTCTGCATCTTCTAAAGGTTAATGTGGATACCCATAGGCCCTCCCGTCGGAGGGACATGCAAGCACGGCAGCCTTCTAGAAGCTTCTGCCAGAACCTCAGGTCTTCCTTCACATGTCACTGTGCGGACCAACTGGCCCTGCTGGTGGGGGTGGGGCAGACAGTGCACAGAGGCCAGCTGACCAGGAGCACCCCCAGGACCCCCAGAAGCTGTGGAGGTGGGGACAGAAACCACGGCCACTCCATGGGTCTCGGGAAGAAATGGCCCAGGGCCAGCTGCAAGCCTATGACCACAGATGGTGCCAGCCCCCTGCCAGCCAGCGCCCCACAGATCCCAGGTGTCAGAGAGGCCCAGGTCACCTCCTCCTTTTCTTGGGTGGCCTTGTGCTGGTTTTCCCGCAGGAGCTGCTGCCGGGCCAGTGCGGCCTCCTCGTGGCTGAGCTTCCCCTGCAGCCTCCGGCACATGCCTGCAGCCAGCTGCTCATCCCGGTCCTTGGCCTGCATCTTCTTCTGCCACTCAAGGAACTCGGAGAAGTCCCCGGCACCGTCCATAAGCTTGTCCACCCTGGGCAGAAAGGAGAGTCTAGCTTAAGTTCCTCCTGGGATGAGGCCTGAACTGGCCGCCAGGAGGCCACAGGTTCCCCTGTGGACACTGGCCCTCACTGGCGTGGGCTGTTCTTCACCCACCCACCCACTGCCCACCCGTCCCATCCTGTGCATCCACCCTTCACCCTCCCTTTATCCACTTGTCTACTCACCCATCTGTCCACTTGCCATCCCTCTGCCCACCCGTCTATCCAGGCACCATCTGCCTGTCCCCCTGTCTATCTGTGCACCATCCCTCTGTCCATCTCTCTGTGTCTCACCCATCTGGTTAGCCACCCAAGCTCCCACCCACAGCCCAGCTCATGGGGTGAGCACAAGGGTCTGCAGCCCTGGCGGTCTAGGGGAGGGGGCACCAGGAAGGGGCTGGAGGAAGCAGTGGCCCCTGAGGAAGGTTTGGGGTGGCCAGTGTCTGCTGAGCCTGCTCCTACCCAGTCTGTCTCCCTCACTGAGCCCAGATGATCTTTCTAGGGTGCAACTGTGACCGCAACACCGGCCTGCTGGAGGCCCCACCCCTGCAGGACCAGAGCCACCAGGCCCCCTCTGTGCTCTGCCCCCCAACCTCCACCCTGCCCTCCCCACCTCTGCAGCTCCTTCTCCACCTGCCGCTGGTACAAAGCCCCTTCCCGCAGGATGGCTGCTGTGTTCAGCTTGACCGGGACCTCATTAGGCTGCAGGGAGGAAGGGGGGCTGGCTGTGGTGGGGCTGTGTGGGGAGCAGCAAGAGCCCCCGCCCTCTGGCCCTCCACATCTGTCCTCACCCTCCACCTCCGTCCACATCTGCCCCCACCCAAGTACTTCCCTCTGTGGTAAGGGTGGGCTGTCTGTGGGAACTCTGGGGAGGGAGGGCAGAACAGGCTGGGAGGTGATTAGCCTGGGACACCCCGAGTCCATTCTGACCAGCAGGGAGCACCCCTCACCTTGTAGAAGGTCAGCTTGGGAGTCTTGCGGATCCGGGGAGGGAACCGTAGTCGCAGCTTCTTGGAGCCCTGTGGGAGTCAGGGCCTGGTACCTGAGCCCACCAGGTATCCCCAAATGTACACTGGGAGGCCTGCCCTGCACATGGGTTCCCCAAGGGCAGCACCTCTGTCCTGCAATGCACCCCTAAGCCTTGTGGGGCATTGGCTGCCCTGGAAGGCTCCTGAAGGTGCAGGGCCTACTGAGCGGGAGCAGTGGTTCCCAGTCAGGTGAGATCAGCCTCTGGCTCAGGTCCCATCTCCAGCTGCCCTGGGGCTGCCCCCACAGCCTGGGCTGGGCTGCTCCCAGTCTGTCTGCTCCCTCCCAGGGTGGGCACCACAAGCCACAGTGTGGGGAGCAGCTGGTAAAGGCCCCACCATGGGATCTCAGCCGTTACAGCCCCAGTGGCATGATGCTAAACTGGGTGCCCTACCCCAACCTGCCCTA